CCCATCTACTTCATTTTGCAAGCCTACTTTCCTTTTGTCAGGAGAAGTTGGACACTAATTTTGCTGTAAATTCCTGGCACTGGCTCCTTTCCCAACCCTTTATGCCTCACTTCTGTAAATAGATGTATCCCGTATTCCCCTCCTTCGTTCTCGAAGTGGACATTGTCTAAAATGGGATAGTGTCTATTATATAATAAATTATTCACTCTTCCGCACCTGGATATCCAATAAAGATGTGTTAACAATTTTCCCACTGTGGTAGCAGCTGTGGTGGGTGATAAACGACAGGCTCCCCCCTTGGAGAGGTTGGAACTGGAGTTCTAAAGTCAATGCTTTAGACTTTAGAACTGTGCTTGACCCTTCTCCACTGCTCTCTCCTTGTTACATCCAACACAAATGTGTTTCCCCAATTTTAGAGGCTGGCCAGGGTGGTGAAAGGGGATAACTTGTCAGGCTCCTAGATCCTGGGGATTTTGCTTCAAAAGGCAGAGCAGTGATGGTAACCCATGAATGGGGTTTAGCAGCCCAACAAACACAGGGAGGAGACCTCAAAGCCAGTTTTGCCTTTCATCCAGGGTTTAATTGTAGGAGGGGACAAATCCAACTCCCTTAATTGACAGAATGGGTTCATAACATCTTTCAGCAAAGACCTGACACCTAACAATTATCGGTAATCCAAGAAACAGCCCTGTGGGGCAGGACAGTAGCAAATCTTTCATTGCATAAAGTATAACAACAATAAGAAAGAGCCCCATATGGAGACACTGAATGGCATGTAAAATTTGTAAGCTGGACCAGGGAATTATAGCCTAAGAGCTTGGTGCTCTGTTTTTAAGGACAAAAACAATGTGGGGCAGGGATGAAGTGAGGCTGGAGGTGAATTAATAGCATTCTGAGTTAAGACTACTTACATTCCATAAGTCAACACTATTGGCACCAGGAGCCAGGAAATTAAAAGATACATTGTGATGGGAAAGTCTTAGGGACCTCTTCAAAGTACTGAAGAGCAATGGTGTCACTCTGGAGACTAAGGTGCGCCTGATACAGGCCATGATCTTTGCAATCACTTGCTATGTGTCAGAGTTGGACAATGACTAGGGAGGATAGAAGGAAAATTGATGTCTTTAAGCTGGTGTTGGAGAAGAGTATTGACTATACCATAGATTGCTAAGAAAACAAACAGGTTTGTCCTAGAGAGGGTTAAAACAGGCTGTTCCTTGGAGACAAGGATTCTGAAGCTTGGTCTGATATACTTTGGACATGTTGCAAGGAGGGACCAATCCTTGGAGAAGGACCTCATGCTTGGGTGGGTGGAGGGACAGAGCAGGAGAGGAAGACCCTCTATGAAGTGGATTGATTGAGTAACTGGAGTAATCGGGGTAGGTATGTCAGAGACAGTGAGATTGGCACAAGACAGAGCAGGGTTTAGTGCTGTTGTATATAGGGTCGCTATGAGTTGCAGGCGACTCGATGGCACATAACAACAACAAACATTCCGTAAGCATTGGGTTGATGATTTCTCCACATGACTTTGTATTAGCAATTGTCTCATATCAAAATGGGGAATTATCAAGTATTGATGTGAGTCCTCTTCACTGGTCTTCTCAAAGAGGAGAAAACAAAATGATTTCTCTTATGTTTTTTGTCATAGTGTAGGTGCTCAAGAATTGTGTTCTCTTTCCCTTTCCTTTCCTTCTCTGGTGTCCATCCTGTCAACTAAGCTGTGGGGAATAAAGTAAGGAAAGTGGCTGGCATCAAGCTGATTGCAATTCATGGTGGCCCCCATGTGAGTTACCACAGAACTGTGCTCTTTCAGAGTTTAGTGGCTCATTTTCTGAAACAGATCTGCAAACTTTTCTTCTGAGGCACCCCCAGGTAGACTGGAACTGCCAGCCTGATGATTTGCTTATTGGGTCCTCATCCAGGGCCTCTAAAGAGGAGGAGGGTGAATGAAAGAAAGATAAAGGCACAAATGCTCTGTGTTCATGTGATTACCTGAGAAAAGGATGACTGCATTCTTCCTTTTGATCTTCAAGATCTAGAGAGGACCTAGAAATAAATAGTGCCCCTGCCTGGCAATTTGCTTCTCTTCTAAGAAACAAAGTGGTCTCCACCATCTTAAAGGAGTTTCTGGTGGCTTAATGGTAAGGAATTATGCTGCCAACACAAAAATTATTGGTTCAAATTCACCAGCTGCTCCATGGGAGAAGGATGGGCAGTCAACTCACTTGTGATTTAGGCTCTGAAAACCAGCTTAGTCTCAGATATTGGCCAGTTCTGAGTATTTGGTATACAACCACCACCACCACTGTCTCTCATAAAATTGGAAGCAGTGTCATCCACTTCCTAAACAACATGCCTCCAGAAACTCGATGAGCTTTGAGAAATGATGATAGTTATAGAAAGGCTTTAGGTCTTTTGTTCATAGAGTCCTTCATAGTCATGCTTGACTTGATGGCAACCAACACAACAACACAGTGGTAAAAAGCTGTGCTGCAATCCCAAAGGCAAAGGCACATTCTGAAAACCCAACGGAGGGTCAACTATGGGTGGAGTTTGACTAGATGGTACAATAACAACAATAACAGGGGCCTAGTGGATAAGAAGTTGTGCTGCCAACTCAAAGGTGAGCAGTTAAAATCTATCAGTTGATCCATGGGAGAAAGATGGGCAATCTCCTCTCATGCAGTTTATAATTGTGAAAACCCAGTGGAGGGTCAGCTATGAGTTGGTTTCTATTTGACAGTTGTGAATGTTGCTCTCCATGGCTTTCCTCATGTCTTAGATGCACATAAATAAACTCTTTCTTTAAAAGATGAAAGTTGAGGGCTTTAGGTTTTAGTACCAGAGAATCCTTATGTATCTAAGGAAAACAAACCCATTGTCATGGCCCATTCACAGGCTGTAGATGTAACAATGGGAAGAGACTACCTGTCTTTATGCCACGAAATTGCTGGTAGTTTTAAACTGCTGACCTTAATGTTAACAGTGCAACACAACACACTATACCAACAGGGCTCTTTATATTTGAGAAGAGAGCTTCAAATCCCTTCCTATAAATCTCCATTTCCACCAAGGCTAAAAGTACATGTGCAAATTTAGCACAGCTTGGTCCTTGGGTGATGTCAGTTGATTGATGACTGGGATCCAACATGGCATCTCCTTTGAACTAAATGGGTGATAATACAATAAAACTCAACAGCCTTTCTCCCATCTATCATTGTCAGATGAGAAATAGACTGTGCCTGCGTTTTACTTTAGGCAGAGCTTTCCAAAGCTGCTATACCCAATGGTGCCACTTGATGGCGGTGAAACCTCAAGCATCCCAGAGAAACAAGTCTTAAAGCTATTTTCTTGTGAAGGTCGGGAGGCTGAAATGCAGATGTTCTGCAGACTTGAAGCTAACATGCCCCATTTCAAAAGGCTTGTGTTTCGAGCTATTTGCATCCTCCTTCCCACTATCTTTACAGAATTTCCTCCGGATCTCTCTTGTGAGTATTGGGCTGCTTACTGAAATGTCTGTCAGTGGTTTAAATCCACTCAGGTGTTCTTGGAGAAAAATCTATCAGCCTGTTAAGATTTTCAGGTTTAGAAATTCTATGTGGCCTTTTCTACTCTGCCCTATAGCTTCACCACGAGGCAGCCATGGGTACCCCCCCACCAGTCCCAAATTCTTTGGCAGCATTTAATTATTATTATTAAAAACTTTCCCAGGCATTTACAGTCCACATACCTGTCATCCCGCATCTTCACAGGAGTCTGATACGCTGTTGTTATAAATCCTCACAGGTATTTATGCGGTAAAAGCATTGCTTTTCGGTCCAGAGAAGTATGCCAGAATAAAGAGGGCAGTCTGGCCCTGGCAATGCAGCAGCAAAATAAAACCCATTTCCTCCCAGCCCCGCGAGTTTCCTTTATTTTCATTCTTGACTGCTGAGAACGGAACTGTGTTCAACTGAACTTTTCTTCTTTACCCATTGTCTTCTGCTCCCACCAGGGATTTGAGGCTTTCCACTGTCTGCCCTCGCTATGACATGGGGGTAGGAGTGTGGGGTGCAGTACGTGTTATTTCAGAATTAGAAGTGAACAGTTTTGAAAAAGATAAAGTCCAGCTTTCTCAAATGTTAACTGCTGAGATCCAGAACCTGGGAAATCAGTCTCCAGCTTGTCAATGAGCTCTTTAGAAATTCCAACTCGTGGTCTTGCGCTGGATTCCTTC